GGGAAAAAGGGAGCGGTGCCCCGCCCCTTCCGGTCGAGTCTGGACAATGAAGACGCCGCCTTCGACTGCCCCGTCAGCGTTTGGCTTATTTATGACTTCCTTTGCAGCGGCAATGTAAAAAGCATTTCGGTTATTATGCACATTTCTGTCAATGTTGCAGAAATTGGTGCTCGTAAAAAGCATGTAACAGCTGCAGGGACACGCCCCGCAGGCGCAGGGTCCGTCTGGGATACAATAGGAATTTCCGAAGCTTAATTCTACAGTTAAGCAATATAAAAGAGACTGAACTCTAGCGTAATTTGTTTATGTAAATAAAAGAACAAATATTTAAATTATTTATTTATAAAGAGATTAAGAAGTTTTGATTATAAGGACTAACATTTCCCCAGCTAAGAACTCAATAAAACCCAGAAATAAATTAACAAACTGTCTAAATTGATAACGATAAAAATGTCAGGGCTGGCCATTAGGAGGCCATTAAAAGACCATTCGCCTTGGCCAGTGAAAATCGAATAAACAACTCAGCTGGTCGTGGAGTCAATTGTCTAGCAACTCAACTGTCCAAAATGGTGGGAGGATATAAAAGAAAGCCGGAAATGCTTTTCAAAGGGAAGAGGAAGCCGAGAGAAGGACACATGTGTTACTGCGATGCTGGCTGGCAATCCTTTTGAGTGATTTCTGCGAATTAATATGAAACTTTTCGGTCTGTCGGCGAGCTTGTGCGAGCAAAGCTCTTTATCTGTCCAAGCAAAAGCCAAGGCGGGCAATAAAATCTCGCCGAATCGCATGCCTTTTTTCCTCCGGATGCCCCCATTGACTTCCTAGCTAATTGCCGGCAATGTTGGGTATTAACCACCAAGAATGGCTATTATTTATTTTAGCACCACTAAAATATTTATGCCGAGGACTCGTTTTTCCGTTACTAAGTTACATTCCTTTTTTTTTCGTGCCACAACTGGGGTCGTAAATTTCCATCGCAAAGTAAAGCAATTAAAATTTGCATAAAATTCAAATATATTTGCCGGCGTGTCTAAAAACTAAACATCAACAGGGCACGGGAAAAGAGCACTTGAAACTACACACGCACACACACACACACACAAAGGCAGGCAGGCAGGAGTGTAGAACATGACAGTCGAGTCGAATGGGATGAGATACAGATATGCTGGGAGTGGCCTGAATCTGGGAACGAAATGAAAAATTACACATACGCCATGTAGCACTTGGCGCATAAACTTTGAAGTGCACTCGTTCACGAAAATGGCAAACTTTCCTGACGCACATGGCAAATAATTACAGGAGAATCCAGCCCGGGCCGGCGCAGCAAGTACGTAAATAAAATTCAATATACTCGTAAACCGAATTCCATGAAATACGACTTCGCATCGGAGGCCCTTCGATGTGGAATTTATGGTCTTATACGACGGACCATCTGAAATGGCTTGTTATAAAATGTTTTATGGAAAAACTTCATATGTCTGCGCCATTTATATACTGCCATCTAAGAGGATCAAGGGGCACACGAGGAATTTTAATTGGACTGACAATTTCCATTCATCACATTACGTCTAAAAAGCTGTTTGAGCCTCAGTCTCCGAACTTTAGCATATTTTTGAGAAAATATACGAGAAACGTTTGAAAGGGCCACCCAAAAAATATCGACATATGCAAATTTAATGAAGAGTCTTGCATTTATACACATTTGAACTGTGGCGAGTCTCCGCTGGCCATATCTCTTTGCTATGCCAATACTTTCTGGTCCTATTTGTTTAGGTTCTCTCTGGCCTGCCTTTGTGTGCGTGTGTGTTTTTTGGGAGATGGACACTTTTGCGGCCTTATCCCTTTTCACATCGTTGGGGACTTAATCTTCTGTGATTTATTCATAGACTCTGTTTTTGCGCCATTAGTTTTGCGTATATTTGCATAGCTCCACTGGGGCCACGCCCCCAGCCTGCGGTTGGCAATTTGTGCGCTTATACTGCAATTAATATTCATAATTACGAGCTGGGACTGCACAGTGGTTGCGCCCATAGGCCATAAATCGAAAAATCGACTTGAAAATAATTACTCAAAATGTTAAGAATTTGTCTCTAAATTGTCTATATTTTGTCATTGCAAACTAGTTTTCCTGGAATTCTAACGGGACATTCTAAAAAAAGAATGCAAAGTGTGAACACGTGTTCAAGTTTGCTGCTGCAGCTGCGTTTAGTGAGCTTTTCGTCAAAACAAAAGTGAAGTTCAAAGTGGTCGGACGTTCGCAAAAATGCTCCAAATTGAATTATTTAAAATGCATTTTAAAGTTTAAGGTATTAACTTTAATAAATTGGTTTTATGAAAATTATCTGACTAATTAAATATTATTTGTGTATTTTATAGCGATTAACCCTTTTTTGTCTATTTTGTTAACGTCTTTTTCATGTTTAGTTAAAGTTTTAGTTGTGATGCCGCAAAATGCCACATATAATATGTATGTTAATGTGTTCGTCTGACTTTTAGGGTACTGTGTGCCAAAAATCAGCTGCAGAAATTTGCAGATGTTAATATAATCTTAAAAATACTAACACAGGTGAGGGTAAGATTTTAAATTTTTTTTTCGTAATTTTTTTTTTTTTTTTTAAATAAAGGTTTAAAATATTAAAAATATTGTATCAAAGTTTTACATCGATTATTACAAAACTGACGAAGTTATGGGTAGTTGAACGGAGGTCGTTTGGTGTTCGATGTATGAGTATCATAAAGTTTAAAGCGTTCTCCTGAAAAATGCCATTTTGAAAATCGGTGTACTCTATAACTCAAAAACTACTTAACCAATCGGTTTGAAATTTTGAACATAACTTTGAAATTTAATTGTACAGGTACTCACGTAAAGCTTTTTTAAATTGTTAATGTTAATATATATATTTTTTTTTAAATTAACTTAATTTTTGAGTCGAAAATAGGGGTTTTGACTTCCAATTTTGATAAAAAATCGGGAAAAATTTTTTAAAATAAAAACGTCTCTTAAGTACCTTGGGGCACTAATTCTTTAAGGAATGCAATAGATTTTTTTGATATCGGACGTTTTTGTGGACAGTTAGGATGTACACCGAAAACCAACTTTTATTTGTGGGGACTTAGGAGATTAGCAATATAGCGTAGGCCTGTAAATATTTTTTAATACAAAAATTAAAAAAAAAAAAATGGTTCAAATGTTTTGTTAATTTATGGTATTTAAATCATTAAGCTAACTTTAGCCGTTTCGCCAAAACATTTTTTTGAACAGTGGGCAGTTTTGCACCGAATTAGCCTTACCCCCCTTAAGCTGTGTGCATTTGTTGCTAAACAAATAAAATACACAATATATAAGTTAATAATTTTTTTTTACTTTTGGACACTTATATTTCACCAACATTCTCATTAAGAGATAAAAAATTAATTTTAGCTCTTGGAAAAAAATAATTTTATAAAAATTTTGTATGGGAGCTATAAGATATAGACATCCGATTTTAACCAAATTTGGTAAGAATGCATAAACCTGTTCCAAACATATTATCTGTGAAATTGGTTAAGATATTTTGAAAAACAAAAAAGTTTTTCATACTAAATGTTGATTTTTAACAGATTGTTCCTATGGCAGCTATATGATATAGACGTGGTATAGGGCCAATTTTTTGTGCATATACTTAGAACATTTTTCTTGATTTTTGGTATTAATTTCGTAACGATACATCAACTATAAGTATTTTTGGCCGCGTCTCCATACAAGCCCAACCACTGTGGACTGGTGACTGGTGACGCATCGTGTCCTTAAACGCCGCCATCATTCACACTCTCGCGCGTCCTGCATGACTGCAGGCAAGCAAGTCGCTGCTCCTTAAACGCACTGCACTTCATATTCATAATGGCAATTTTTTACGCTTGCGATCTTGGCCAGCATTATGCACAACAATAAATTTATTCAACACATGCCAAGTCAGCCAGGAGGAGAGGACCACACTCCCGAGTGTTTTACAAAATTGTCTGTGGCTGGGTGTGTGTGTGTGTGAGTGTGTGCGGTGGGTGTCCTGATGATTTATGTCGAGGCCTTAAATTACACACGCCAAGAACTTGCTGATATTGCAGTTGTTGATGGCGGTCCATGTAAATAATAGTGAGTATCTGGGCTGCCACTTGATATATTTAAATGCCAGCAGCTGAAGCCAAAGCCCACCATCGCCCGAATGGGGATTTATGCGGCTAAAACACATTTTAGTTATCGCTGGCAAAGCCCAGTGGGCCATAAACATCGGCTGCCACGCCCCCACTGCCCTTAACTTTACGTTCCCATGTGTGTGTCTGTTCGTGTCGATTTAATGTCAATAAATAGTCGTGGCGGCTATATTATGCCGCCTATTGATAATTCAACTAATTAGCATTCAAGTTAATTATTTCGAATTCAGATGTTGAGCACGCTTCGGCCATTTTTGCTATTGTTATGTCAGCCGCTCGCCTATTTATGTGTGCGTGCCCAAGCGGAAATGGCGTCATTGGGCAAAGTGTTGATAAATTTAAATGACGGTTCCGCAGGTTAGTGAATTCACACATCGGTATCTCTGTATTCCAATTGTGGAATGTGAGGGGAATGGATTTAATATTTCAGCAATTCTTGACTAGGGTCGTCAGATAAGGAGAAATGAACATGTCCTCTGCATAAGAGAAATTTTTCGGACACGAAAACCCTGGCCTCGTCACGCTTTGCGGGATAAATATATAAAATAAATTATTAAATGCATATGTGCCGCCTGTTGAGGTATTTGGGTAATGCGCCAAATGAAAGTCGCCACGGAGAGTGCCGGTTATATTAAAAAATTCCACACATTCGACATAATCACGAAGCGGACTATTCAAACTATTTCAATATTTGCGGTCCAGGCCGAAACGTGCCGGGGAAAACCGCTTCACAACCGAACTCTGAACCAAACCTTTTAAATATAAATTCTCTAGTGAGAGAAATTATTGTGATTAAAATCGATAAACAAAGTTTGCCTCAACATTTAACTCAGAAATACAGCTACCTCTTAATCAAACACAATACACACGAAGCAAGTAGTTTTTAAGAACCCTGATATGACGGACTACAGTGTTGCCAATTTCAAGGACTACCAAGAGTACCTCCGCTCCTTCACCGTCGTCCAGGACTTCCGATATCTGCCCTGCCACAAAACAGTCACAACACTTGCAAAGCTCGGTTATCGCGAGAACCGGACTTTCTACGAGGAGGATGAGTTCCATAATGCAAAGAAGCAAGTGGAACAGCTGCTGAACCCCACAGTTTCAGCCATTATATACTACAGTCAGTATTTCAAAGGAACCGACAAGGCTCTTAGGGCCTTGGCCCAACGGGAACACCTTAATGTCCAACAAGAGATATCCGTGAGTGGGCAGTGTAATTAGTAATCTAATTTATTTCCAGCACATCTTTGCCCCGCAGACCATAATATTTCTGGAGATAAGCGGCCGAAGTGGCTTCTCCCAATCGGGCTACATAGACTTCGAGTCCAGTCTCCGTAACTATCGCTTCAAAGGACCAAACGCTGTCGACTGGAAGGCAATCTTTGAGGAGAGGAAACTGTTGCGACCTCAGCAGACCGATATCGTTTTCTACGACTGGAGAACCAGAAAAATCTTTGCCAATGGCAACGACAACTACACGGTGGTGGCGTCCAATCCGGAATATGGCCTTATGTTTGCCCATAAAGGCGATCACAAGAACATACCGGTGACCACCAAGAAGAATCCCTTCAGTGCCAATGTAAGGCGCTACCAGATCAAGTCTGATTTGTATGGATTCATGATATTGTACGATCACCATGTCCGTAAGAAGACCTAGCTGTATTCAAGAGTTGAGTTTATTTTACAAGCATTAAATATAGTTTTAAATAGCTAAAACTAATGTTTTTTAATTAGGCTAAATTCTTCTTTTAATTTCCTAATTTGTATACTATGTTATATGAGTTTTTAGTTCTTTATATATTTTACTTTTACCTTATACATTTTATATTTACTTATATACCGATAGTAATCTCTTTTCACCCCAACTATTAACCAGCCTTCGTTCAATATTAATGTCATCTGATAAAAGCCAATGCCTGCAACGCTCGAGCAAGCAAAATTCCACTTAAGTTGTCAACACTCCACTGCCTAAACAACCACACACTGGCAACCACACACACACACACAAACCCCACACAAACACCATCCGACGTGGGACACGCACGCCCGCCTTTGGCACATCCATCCACACCTTAAATACCCAAATCAAAAAATAAATGGTAAACACTGGACGATCCCATTCCCCAAAGCCACATGGCCCCGTGTCCAGGGCGACTCTATCGAAAAATGCTGATGATATGATATTTAGAATATTTTTTTCCTCAGCCAGGCGGCGGCAGGCGGCCAGGGATGTTTTTCCAAGGATTGGGGTCTCAAAATTCCTGCAGAGCATGGCAAATATTTATTTAATGCTCCGGAGTGGACAGCCGATAGCCAGACATGCAAACCGGAGCGGGGGTCTGGTTATAGAAGTTGTTTTCTGCCCTCGGTGGGGGTGGCCTTTGAGTCTTCGTCTTCCTCATTGTTTCGGGCTTGGCAACATTGTTGTTGGCACTGCTGCTTAGTTAATTTCTGGTCATCAGCTGCAGAGCGGCCTTTGTTTGGCTTACAGACAATGGCAATGCACGTAGGAAAAAATCACTGTGTATATATGCTCGAAGAAGAGACTTTAATAAACTTAATATATATATTACTTTTGAGAAAAACCTTAGCGGTTTTTTAATTTCAATGAGTTTTAACTAAAAAAAATTGTATATTTCCTATAAATCATTCTTTCACCATACTAACAATTACTATAAGATCATAACACTGATTTCAAACGATTTTCTCTCTTTTTTATATCTTAGAAATATAATACAAGATATTGTTTCACCACAATAATAAGGTTATTGTATTTTTCTCCCTGTGTGCTGACTAAGCTCTAAACCTTGGAAGAGCTCCAAAGTGCCAGCAAACACAACAAAATGGGCGTTTTTTCGGAGGCGTGGACAGTCTATTGTGAAAGTGTGTCTAGTTTTAAGTGCTTCCAGCGTGTATAAATCACATTGTTGAGCATTTTTACCGATGGCACAGAGGGAAGGAGAGACGAGGGTGCTGTGCAGGTAATGTCTGCGCATAAAAGTATGCAATAAAATATTTTTGTTGCCGCCAGACGTTTTAAGTGGATTTTGTAGACCACAAAATGGCTTAATAGGCGAGGAGGTGAGGGCAACGAAACTTTGGGTTTCATTAGCATTAACGGGCGGTCGGCTTGTCAACACGCCCACATCCAGGACGTCGGGACTCCACGACCCACGGCGCAAGGCCCACGACCAGAAACAATATTTATGTGCAGGTTAACACGGCACCGACATGTGGGGGTGCGAGTGAGAGTGTGTGTGTGTGTTTGGGTCTGTTTGCTCACAAACCTGATTACAAAACTCATAAAGTCGCCATGAAATTCAAACAATGCGTTACGTGCATCGAATGCCAAGAGCCGCACAAAGGACAAAATGAGGAGCTCTCCGCCACACACACACACACTCGCAATCACGTCCGAAGGCGGCCTCCCAATCACCTCGCAGCGCGCGATAAGATACTTGGGCGTCATCTTGGATACACGCCTCTGCTTCAGAGAGCATCTGGAGTATATACACAAAAAGGCCAGCGAAACAGCAAGATCTCTCTCCCGAATCCTGCTTAATACCAGAGGCCCTAAGCAGTGCAGGAGGAAGCTCCTCACGAGTGTGATAACCTCGCAACTTCTCTACGCAGCCCCAGTCTGGGCAGAGGCAGCGAAGGTCAAAAGCTACGTGAGGGGCGCGGAAGGAACCTACCGCTTGAGCGCACTGAGAGTAGCGTGCGCCTTCAGGACCGTCTCCGACGAAGCGGCCCTGGTCATTGCGGGGCTGGTGCCGCTAGGCGACCTAGTGCAGGAAGCCCAGGAAGCCCGCCTCCATAGCGTACCGGACAATCCAACGGCAAGGCGCGAGGCCAGGGGGAGTGCCAGGAGCAGAAGCGTTGCCAGGTGGCAGGACAGGTGGGACAGATCCACCAAAGGCCGCTGGACCCATCGCCTGATTCCAGACATCAAAAGCTGGATAAGTCGGAAGCACGGAGAAGTCGACTTCTACCTGACTCAGGCTCTTAGTGGTCACGGATGCTTCAGAAGCTACCTGAAGCGATTCGGTCACGACACCGAGGATCACTGCCCAGAATGCGGGACCGGGGTGGAAGAAAATGCGCACCACGTACTCTTCGACTGCCATCGTTTCCACCATGAGCGGCAGGCGCTGGAGGAAGCCGTGGGTACGGCCATCTCAGTGGACAACCTGGTTTCCACCATGCTGGTCAGCCAGGTGACCTGGGACGCGACAGCCATGTTCGTGGCCAGCGTCTTGAAGACCTTGAGGACCATGGAGAACGAGAGGAGGACGCGAGCGGAGTAGGCGGCCTGCATATCGCGCGAAGCAATGCCTAGCGGCGGTACCGCGCGATACGGCCCTCTACACTGTTTCTGTTTGTCCTTCCCATCAACCCTGTGTTACTTATGTAGTTATAGTCTTAAATGTTATGTTTTATGTTTTTTCAAATAAAAGAATACAAAAAAAAAAAACGTCCGAAGGACCCATGCATAAACAACATTTCTCTTTGACCCAAGGAGTTGCGAGCTGGGAGCGGAGAATCGCGAGCTGAGAGAGGATGTGTGAAGGCCCGTTTATTACATTTTGATTATTGCAATCTCGTTTCTCAGGTCCCGAGCACATCAAAGGATCTCCAACTGATTTACAGTTGCCAAAACTCTGCGAAAAAAAAACAAACGAAATGGAAAATGTTAAAAGGATGCTGGGCCAGAAATCAAATCAGCAGTTCGAGCAACTTTAAATTTTAACTGGCGGGCAACGCTGAATATAAATATAAATATAAATATTTATGCGAGTGGCCCGCAAAACGATTTGTCAAATGCGGTTCTTACTTGTGGATTATGAATACTTTGCTTGAATTTAGCTGACAGCAGAAAATTATTACACAATGATTAATATTTATTTGCCCGGGCTACTGAGCAGCGGTTCCCGACGGAGGCTCAGGCTCGAGTCCAGGAAAGTGGCCACAACAAGTGACAATGTGCTGAATATAAACATTTTCTTTCTGCGCCTCTCCTTCTCCTTGGGAGCCGCTCAAAAGGGCATTTAATTTAGATTTATGCCCTGCACGGCATTGTGACAGGAGGAAAGCAAACACAAGCCAGCGTGTCCTGCGAAAATTATGATATTTGCCATCTTATGGGGCTGAGGCGAAGGCTGCTGCCGCCTGTTTGCCTTGCCCGCAGTCTGATAAGTTATCGAACAATAAAATAGCCTCAGCCGCAAGTTGCGGGGCCCCGGCAAAATAAGGATATGCGCAAATAAAACGGCAATAAATCAAAACGATTGACGATCTCATGATGCGGCTGGCCCCACCGATTAAGGCTTCACTGCCAGTGCCGAGATTTCCCATATAAATCGACTTGGGGTCGAAAAGTGATTTTGATTGTTATTTGTTTGCCATCCAGCCAGCCAGCCAGCCAGCCAGCAGCGTCTTAGTTAGCTGCCTGTCGACTCTCGTCTTGACAAGCAATTTATGGCGATATATCCAGGATCCATAATTTATGCCCGGCTGCACGAGAATCACTGCAGCGGAAGTGCGAAACCGAAGCCGATTCGGAATCCGAAACTGGAATTTGGCGGGGCTGCCACTGTCAATAAGGAAACTTCATTATAAATTACCCAACTGACAGTTGCAGGCAGACGCCGGAGAATAATAATAATAACAGCCGAGTCAGCCATGGCGAAAGTTAAAAGCCAGGGAAAAACTCCTCGTCAGCCATTGTGAGCAGAGTGCAGGCTCTTACCCACTCCGGAGATTGTTTCAATCTGCTTAAGCATCGACCAAGTCAATGTCGGCGGAATCGAAGACCCTAGCTTCTGGCCATGCAATCCAGCTCCAATGAAAGCGATTGTTGTGTTAAAAATTGCTGTATAATTGTGCGGAAGTTGGTCGCTGGCATTTGTTGCTGCACTCGAAGTGAAAATCGGAAAAGCGGGAGTGCGGAAAATGTATAAAAAAGAAAGTGGGTGTAGCCATGAATCACATAAAAAGCAAATGTCGCATCGTTAGGTTAAAAGCTTTATGCAAATGCTCCGCCCTCCTTCTTATCATATTCTCTTTGCTGCTGCACTGAAAACTGAATGAAAATTATATTGAACACGGGTCGGAGATTGCCTTGGGAGTGGTGGCTGTCTATGTACACCCTATATCGGGATATCGTGGGGGGGTTAATTCAAGGGAGACGGCATTGAATGCGCAACTAAGCTGAAGCGTCGGCAATTAGGTGCAATTGTTTGAGAGGAAGTGCTGTTCAGCACTGAGCACTTAAACGCGCTGGGCACTCACTTATTAACCCCTCTTATCAGAATTGTTATTACTTAAACAACAGCAAATCCTAAGCTTCTTATTGAAACAAGTGGTTCGAATTAATTAGTCATGATCGTATTACAGCATATGCTAAAGCAGGTCAATTGCAAACTGACACTGAGCAAATTGAACTTGAAGAGGAAGGCTTTCGAGAGCCTTGAGAACTGCGACTATAACTATAACTAGTTTCTGGTGAAATACAACTGCAACAAGATGTTTATACAGTCCTTTTGCACTTTATATATTATATTATCTCCCCAAGAAGGTTTCCTAGTTCTAAATCACTAGTTTTCCAGTGCAGATTAACCTTTAGTGTTCAATCACTTGACTCCCACACAATTGTTTGTGTGAAGTGGACTTAAATTCAATTATTGTTTATACACATCCCCGGCTATCCCCCATCATAATCTGAGACAAGCAGGAGCTGATTGCCTTCGGGGCAGGGGCGCAATTAAACTGCCTTGTCCGCACATTACCGCTCACGTTTTATGGCAGCCGTTTTAAAAATATTGAAAAAAGCGGCAGGCACGAAATTGAAACGCCTGCCAACGAGCACAGGGCCTGCTTTATTGGCACCCGTCCGTAGTCCTTTGGGGGGAGCTGAGGCCATATCCTGCAGATGGCTGCGGTCACTGGACATTAGGAGCCGGAGGACAACCAACCGGTGCCGGTGGGTGCCGTGGGCAAGGCCAGGATCACGGCCGTCCGGATACGGGCATTGTACATGAGATGGCGTCATTAAATACACATTACCCGGCCGGCGGGCGAGGAGGCACTCCGACGATAAAGGCATAACAACCGCCAAGCAACAGTCGGCCAGCGGGAGAATGGCTATTAAAAAGCAGCCCCGGCCCGAAGATAGACATGGCCGGCTACAGTGGCAGACATAACAAATTACAGTATTTCGACAGGCGGCGAGGGCTGTGGCACAGTGTTGTCCTTATGACTATTTTCAAGCTGAATCCTTCTGGGTTTAATTGAGAAAATTCTAAAAGTTCGCTATGTTTAAACAGCTATTATTGATAATATAAAAAAATTAAAATACATTTTTAAATTACCGAAAAGTACAACGAATTAATTTTTGATGGCCAAAATTAAAATGGCTGCCAATATTCAAATATATAGCTCCTTCCCTTAATAAAATCATAATACCCTTCAAAAAGACTGGAAATATTTTTATTCTTTAAATTGATATTTAACCATCTTTTTATATGATAATTTCTTGGACAAAAAAGGTCTTAAGGCGGTGGTATAGTTGAGCGATAAGTGTAGAGCACTTTTTGATCGGTGTCGGAGAACTCGTTCAACTTCATGAAATAGTCTTCCTGATCTCGTATTTTAGGTTGTGATTTCGCACTAACTCAACCTTCTTGTCGTACAGCCCACGGTGATAGGCGTCTTCCAACGTGTAGTTCTTGTTGTACTTGATCTTGTACGCAGTCCACTCTGCGTCACTATCCACGGGAGCACCGAAGTCCAAAAGATGCAGAACGTATAGGGCAGCAAGTAGCAGCATCCGATGAGAACCCATTGCAAATTGGGGAGATCGACTCAGCCATTAACAAAAGCTAACAGCCAACTTGACGAGTTCAACAATTTGCCGTGCCGAATGGTAGCCAAGCTACATATCATCCGGGGTTATCGCTTTGAACCGCTTCCTAGAACTCCCATTCCCCGCCTTATTGACTCTTCGTTCTGAGAACAATCGATGATTTTATCTATTACATTATAAATATAAAATTTAATCAAAATTTAAATCATAAAATTGGGGTCGAAAATGACTCCTTCACTGATTTGCAAGCTTCTGACTAAAATTAGAATTCACTGAAAGGGTATAAAAACACAAGTGAAAACTTTTTAATTACTAACTTTACTTTCTCGAAGTTAGCTTTCATTTTTGTTAAATATAATTTTATTTTAAAATATTAAAATACTAAAAGAAAACTAGGTAAAACATTTTTAAATAGCAGTTAAAGAACTTGCCTTTTTCTGTAGCTATTTATTTATATTTCTTATATTTACCTTCCATTATCCTTAATTGGCACCACTAGAGTAGCATCATCATGGCCTGTGGTTCGATGGTCGGTGTTCAGTTTCAATTGTGCCGGCAAACGTGACTCCAAATTGGCTGCCAGCGAATAATTCATACGAAACACTTTCGCACCATGCGCCTTGCTAATGGCAAGCGCACCACCCTAGGCCATCAGCTACCAGGCCACATCCCAGATCCCACATTCCACACCCACCGGGACCCACCGACCCATCGACCCACCGAGCGATATGGCCCATGTAACCCCACGAACAGGAAGCGAGTAGCGCTGCCAACTCCACGTCCATCAATATTTTATGAAACCCTGTCTGCAGGACGCTCGACGATGCGCGCAGCCCCCGGAGTGGATGGTTTGGCCTGGTTGGAGGCCTTGGAGCGGGAGAAGGGTATCTGCTTACATGGCTGCCTCCTGCCGGCTGCCTGGCTGTCGATATCCGGTTAGATGAGTATCTAAATTGCCTTTACTGTTGATGAATTAGCGCCGGCTGCCTGCCGCTGCTATCTGCGTGGCACGGGGTGTAGTGCAAGTGCCTTGCCTGCACAGCACAGATAAGCTTCCCGGTGGGTGCAAATTTCAATTTGTTCTCAATGATTTTGCTCTCGTCAAATAGGCCGGCAATCTAGGAAGGGAAGCCAGGCGGCACGACCTGCGCTCGAGCGAAGGCAAAAAGGTGTGGCAATCGATCAAGTGGGGGCAGGGCAGCATACATTGTTTCTATAGAACTTATATATAATTATACCGTTATCGCACAATTGTGTTACTCATCGAAATCTTGGAAATTCATTGAGAGAAAGCAGCTTTGTTTGTAGTTGTAAACAAAATAGCAAAAATATATTTACTTGATTGGATCTAAATATAAATTTATACATTCCCTTTACTGCGTTTTATATAAATTCAATTTGTTTTTAAAAATTTCTATATATAAAAATATATATTTTTTAAATATTTTCATAGTTATTTTTCGTTTTTAATAACTGGATACTGGGCAAGCGAGGCCACGCCACACATATTGCCGGCGTTGCGCGCCAGTCTCAAGTATCCCTCTTCGCCCCACGATGTGCCTTGAGAGTTCTTGATCAGCCAGTAGTCGCCCCTAATCGGATCTGTACCAAAGCCCACTAGCAGCATTGAATGCGTCAGTCTAATCCTTTCCGTCGTGCAATTTTTTATGTTCAAAACCCCGCCGCCATACTCCTCAAACTCTTGATAGAGGTGATTAATGGATATGGCAACAGGTCCAATGTTGTAGACCACTTCGGCCAACTCCTTTTCGTCGCCGAGCTTGAGAGTGTAGTAGCTCTCGGCCCCTTTCCTGCTTTTCGTGGGGATGTACCGGCAGGTGTCGGTCTTGGGTTGGTAGGACGGATAGGATTCCATTGGCGCAATACCATGGTCTCTGGTGTAGTTAAAGGCCACGCTCACCCAGCCACCGTAGCATCCGTTGTTGGGAGCTGGCACGCAGTCCACCAGGTGCTTTTGGGAAAGCGTCACCAGCCGACCGGCCTTAATGGCGAGGTGCGCCTCAAGGACCCCTGAGGAGGCGAAGGCCCAGCAGCTGAGGCACTCGGTGCCCTGATTTCCAACGGGGGAGATGTAGCCGTGGTCGCGCCAGTCGATCCCGCCCTTTATATCATCGTAACGCGTGTAGTTTTTCGGAATATCAGAGCGGGCATCCAAATCATTATCGGGATCAGTGGGCGGTGGTATAGTTGAGCGATAAGTGTAGAGCACTTTTTGATCGGTGTCGGAGAACTCGTTCAATTTCATGAAATAGTCTTCCTGGCCCTTCTCGTATTTTAGGTTGTGATTTCGCACCAACACAACCTTTTTCTCGTACAGCCCACGGTGATTTGCGTCTTCCAATGTGTACTTCTTGTTGTACTTGCTCTTGTATGCAGCCCACTCTGCGTCACTGACCAAGGCGGCTCCCAAGTCCAAAAGATGCACAATGGATAGGGCAACAAGTAGCAGCATCCGAAGAGAACCCATTGCGAATGGGACAGACCGACTCGGCGAATAACAAACTTCTAACTGCCACCTTGACGAGCTCAACAATTTGCCGTGGCCGAACGGTAGCCAAGCTACTTATCATCCGGGGTTATCGCTGTGAACCGCTTCCCAGAATTCCCGTTCCCCGCCTTATCGACTCTTCGTTCTGAGAACAATCGATGACTTCATCAATCACATTAAAAATTTAAAGTGTAATCAAAATTTCATCAGTTAAAGGGCAATGCAACCATACCATAACCAATAAATTCTAGTTAATTAGTATTTTTAATTGTTCATTATTTATTATGAAAGAATTTTGGAAAATTGTTCAATTTCAACCTCAGCCTGACAAAATATTAATCATGAATCGTTTAGAATACTGGATACTGGGCAAGGGAGGCCACGCCACACATATTGTCAGCGTTGCGAGCCAGTCTCACGTATCCGTCTTCGCCCCAGTTCTTGCCAAAGGAGTTCTTGATCAGCCAGTAGTCGCCTCCTTCCGGATCGGTCCCGAAGCCCACCACAAGCATGGAGTGTTTGAGGAAAATCCTCTTATTTCTGCATTTCGGTATGCTTAAGACGCCTCGGGAATACTCATAAAACTCAGAGTAAAGGTGGTCCAAGGATATCGTCACAGGTCCAATGTTGTAGACCACTTCAGCCATCTCCTTTTCATCGGGTTTGAGAATGACGTAACCCCTTGGTGAGATCTGGTTGCTCTTTGGTTTGTAGTCACAGGGTTCATTTTGTGGTTTGTACGGAGAATAGGACTCCCAAGCGCTTATGCCATTATCCCTGGTATAGTTGAGGGCGTAGCTCACCCAGCCGCCATAACACCCGCTGTTCGTATTCACGCAGTCCAGTAGATGTTTTGGGGACATTGACACCTGCTTACCGGTCTTCTTCGCCAGATGTGCCTCCAAGAGTCCCGAGGTGGAAAAGGCCCAGCAGCTATTGCAATTGCCCTGATGTTTGACAGAAGAGACGTAGCCGGACTGACGCCAGTCGATGCCATCTTGTATCTCATGGTAGTATTTGTAGTTGGCTGGCTTCGATCCTGGCAGGATTGATTCTGCTGGAACCGGGGGCGAATTGGCGAACAGTGCACTTCGTTCGGTATCGGAGAATTCGTTGACCTTCAACAAGTAGGCAACCTTCCCCTGAGCGTACTCCAGGTTGTTTTTCCGGACTCCTGCGACAATTGGACTGTAGATCCATCGATGATGATAGTCGTACTCGGGGGCGTAGGTCTTGTTATAGAGCTTCTTGTATGCAGCCCACTCCGCGTTGCTAACCAACACAGCGTCCAAGTCCACAAGAAGAAGAAGGAAGATTGCAGAAAATGCCACCAGACGAAGGGAAACCATTGCGAATTTAACAGGCCCGACGATTCTTTAAAAACAGACTGAAATTCTGACGGTCAATCATCGACTTTTATTAAGCGAATTTATTTGCATGATCTATTTTCTTATCAAGTTTAACAATTTTAAGAATTCCCATTACTGTTTCAAAAGAATTCCAAAGAAAATTATTGAACTTTTAGTTTAATTGAGGTCAACGCAAATAAGACAACGCCTGATAGCAGTTTGCTCGTGAATCTCAAGAACAAAATTCATTGGCAGTTCTTGGTAAAATTCGAATGCCGAAGTGTAGGAATATTCTGCATAGCCGTGCATAAGAAAGCGTTATTTCAAAATTAAAATGGGTATAAATATAAAACATGGTTAAAAATATAAAAAATAAGATAGTAAAATTCACATTTTTCTGGTATTTAAGGGTGCTTTAATTTTGGTAACCAGAAAACCCTAAGTAGCTAAGATTTAAAGCAAATTCCGTTAAGCTGTATTCGCATCAGTTTTCTGTTTCTATGAACTCAGTGTCAGTTATTGCTTATTATTTTCAAATTACCAGTTTAAGCTCCATTATGGCTCTCTCCCGAAAGGAAATCATAGCGATATTGCTCTTGATTACGACAGTAAGTGGCACCTGGAAAGCTATTTCTGACCTTAAGAAACCTTCATCGCTCTCGCCCGCAGCTGCTCAATGTGCTGAATGCCACCTACTTTGCGAACATCGTGCATCTTCACTCTAGTTATGAGCAGGTGGCCCATCAGGTCGTCTGCGTAGGCACCGCCTATATCTGTGTGATTTACGCCTTGAGCACCTGGCTGTACCATTCGAACTACCATCGATCCCGCCAGGAAATGCGATTTGTGGTGGGTATGGCTTGAGCCGTGAAGGGGTCTCCGCCAAAGTATTTTATGTGGTCTCTTCTCAGCTTGCGACCATGCTTCTGCTCATGATAGTCAGCCACTGCGTGTCCACTTACTTTTTCAGAGAGAAGATGGCATTCAAAGGGCTGTCAGAGTGCACTGATTTGCGTTCCCTGTTCACGAGCATGACGAATGTCGCTAAAATGATTTCCCTGGTCTTGTCGATCATATGCATCCTGCTGCTGTGCGTGGCCCTGCTGATGGTCCTCTTCAAGACTTGGAGGTCGCGTAAAAAGCGAGCAAAAGCCGAGTTTAAGGAATCGGCCTAGAGGTGGAGGAAGTAACCTCTGGTGGCTGAGGGAGGGCGAGGGCCCATTTAGTTTGGTTTTCATGCCACACCAAACATTCCTTGTCGCTGCAATGTGCCGCAGCAGTGGCAATAATACAAATATTATACTTCTTTGTCGTTTGGCACAGACAGACACGAACACCTCGCTCTCGAAGCTTCTCTGAAAAAAGATTCTGTCTGTGTGCTCCCCTCGCAGGTGATACAGAAAATATAAAAGGCGGCGAAAGAGTGAATGCCCTGATGCTGAAGATTTATAAAACCATTCATTATAACATTTTATGAATTTTTGAAATATAAAATATATGTACTACTTTACCATTTTATTTATACAATAGGCTTTCTACTATTGAATATAGTTTTATGTTTCTAAGGCCTTCAATAGAATCACTTATTGTTTATACTTCCCTTTTGTAGAGTAACTGCAATGCCATCAGACGGATGCAGTTGATGTGTGAGTGCCTGGGCACCTGCTCAGCCAAAAAGAAAGGAAAACCCGAATCCAACCAAGGAAAGTCAGAGCAGGGAAACTCATAAGGAAGACAAGCAGCCGCTTCTTTACATCGGCATGTGTACTATTGCATTTTGCATAATGAAACCGGCAGACAGTGCAATTTGAAGTGCCAGACAAACGAAGTTAAACAGAAACTTAAAGACAAAGTTAAAGTTAACGTGGCGCCGCGCAACTGGAGGAGACGAGGAGCGGAATTTTAGGGGTGTCCTGTAGCCTAATTACGCTCCAATGGCTGCCCATCAAAAGTGACAGTTGGCAAGGCAGGGGCTTACAATAAAATTTCCAGTTAAGTTATTGCCGCGCCGCTGCCAGCCAAAGGCAACGCTGAATACTCAGTTGAAAGTAATTCCAAATTTAATTGCGCACAATTTAGAATGGCGAAATGTTTGCGTGCGTTTAATTAACTGAAAAATAACATAAAAAGCAAAACGAAAACAAAGCGGAATGACAGCCGCGGCGCCACTGGAAATGTTTAATGTTAAATGCCAACTAATTAAATTTGGGGCATGCCAACGGACTGGGGCGACTGGGAACTGAGCTGCCGAATTTATTGTTGCATTTAATGGCCAGCGCAGACGGTTGTCCCATCCGATTTGGCATGGCTACACTCCTTTTCGCTTTTTATTGCGTATACGCCACCGACGAAGTCGCCAGCGCGTATACGCAGTGTATTACGCCCGCAACGAAGTGGGCAATGCAAATGGACAGGAATATATAGGATGCCAAATGACGCAGAACCACAGGCATTGCGATTGTAATTGCGATTGGGCCAATGTCAGTTTCGCTGTGGTCCCCAGCCCGCGGTCCCTCGGCCAAATGAAGCCAATAAAACGGCCTTGTTCGCACGCAAACGTGCGAAAGTGATTCATGTAAACTGATAAAAATTTAATCATATTTCACGTATTAACACGTAATTATTAATGCCTGATAAATGTCGGCAGTTGGTAAAATGTGAAAAAGTCGCAATTAATATGCATTATTTTCCCTTGCTTGTCAAATAAAATGTGACAGCGCAAGTCTTTTAGTTTCACCACCAACTTAATACCCCTTACACGCCGCTTTAATTTCAAACAGAGTTTTCTGTATGCTGGCTTACCCTTAATCCCAACAGGGTATTTGGCATCTCCATCAGCACATAATCATCCTTTATTTAATATTGGATAAGTGTGTAATTCCGCTGCGATGCTTCACTTTTATTATTATTATCATTGCCCTGTATATGTACGGGCCTGTCTGTGCGTTTGTTTTGTCCGGCCGGCGCTTTATTTTCCTTTAATTATGTACTCCGATCACAAATGTGGGTCAATTAACAAGCACGCACCGGCTGCCAGCCCCCATGGATGTCGAAAAATCGGGATTAAACAATGCCGCAGACGTGCTGCCAGGACAGCGCAAACAATTGTCAGAGTTTAAATGCAGCAGCGGCACCGGACCGCAAAGTTTCCACTCATCGCTGCACCGTTCCCCGGTTCAGTGTTCGCATAAATTATGCCGCCATATGCATCGCATCTGGTGAATGCGCCCCCGCTTCCTCCGAGTCTCACTCACAGATTTCTCTCAAATTTTTTTTCGGGGCTGTCAAGATCCCAGCGTGTGTGTCTGGCTCAAAATTTACGACCCGTGGACGGACGGGTGGCAACAGCTTTCGTCTAATTGCCGCTGGCATTACGCCAAATGTAGGGCTAAATTTAATCCCAGTCACTAAAGTACAACACAATCATCAATCACCCAAGCGGCAATTGTCAATCACTAAAAGTCTATTGTCAAATGCCTTGGGCCTTAGATTGTTTGCAATACATAAAAGGTAATATCAAAACCGAAACAATACATATTTGTACGAAAGATTCTTCTATTCAAAGCAACCAGCATTCTTTTAAAATTTGTCAAGGCTTTTTGCTATAACTAAATTCCACTTAAACTTATACTAAATTCGGAGTCAAAAAGTTCGGAGTTCTTCGAGTAAACATGGACCACAATAACGGTGGGTAAATAAAAAAGCTTAGCCTAAAAATAATATGAAATAAATACAGAGAGGGAGCAACTTCAGGCAGAGGAGTCCGGGCTGGAAGCTGACCTCGAGCAAGCCATACCAGAAGGAAACCGTGATCCTCTGCCAATCGAAAATGTCCAGCTCCTGGCGCCATATTTCTGCAGGCACTGCAAGGACTATGTCCGCGGAGGTGTGATCACTATTTGCGGTCACATATTTTGTTGGACATGCCTGTGGCCCCTTCTAGCCGATAACCCATCTCCGGATTGTCCGCAGTGCCAGACACGACTGATTCTGCACATGGACATCATACCCTTCCATGGCCAGGGACCTAATGCCAGACCACAGGACACAAACGTCCTAGCAGAGCCGGGAGCGGTCCCTCGTCCGTCGGGCATATACTTTAGAGGGCCCGACGAAGACAAGGATGAGAACCATTTCGCGGGGATTACCGAACAAATGGAGGCTTTCAGAGAGCTGATCCTGAAGATGAAGGTCAAATTGTCGTTTCCGCTGGTGGAATTGTCATACCTTAAGTTGCTCCAGCTGACCTGCGTCCTTCTCATGTTCCTGTTGTGGAGCTTCGTCTTAGTGACCTAATTAATGTATTTTCAAATGTTTTATGTTGTTTTTTTTTTTTACTTTTAAATTTCTTCTAAATTTATAAAATTAAATTTATTTTAAGAACAAGATCTCACTGGAAATCTGTGAAAATAGTCCTTATTTCTTGTACGCAAGATAAAGGATTGTCTTTGGGAAATTTGTCGGGCGAAGAAAACAGCAAGAGAATGCGGGTAGTAGCTTCGAATTTTCTGCACAGCCATCCTGCAACATGGCGCAAACACAGAAATATTTCATGAACTCTCAGGCAGAGTCAAAGTTGTTGCACCAAAATCCCCGAGCTTCTTGGCCAGCTGAAACAACACACTTCTAGGACACTTGGACCTAGAGTAAGGCGCTTTAAAGTCACAGGCTTTGTTGAATTTTAAAGCGTTAAATCCGAATAACCAGGCTTCCGCCGGACTAATGAACCAGGGTCAATCGCGCTTTCGGAGAATCGGGTTAGCCAAATTGAGTTATTATCCGGCTTTTGTTGGGGCGATGCTGGGCATTCGGTGACAGCTCTATCCGCAGAGACATTGCGTGCTGGTCCTAGCGGCTTGGCTTGCCTTGTCTCCGGACAATATTTATCATTAATTAAGCAGGTGCTGTGAAGTCCGTAAGGATGTGTATCCGTAAGTGTCTGCTATAGGGCCGAGCAGACGCAGAGCCAAGAGTCAGAAGTTAATGCGACGAACGGCCGCCACGGGAGACGTCGGCACGGACATCGAAGAAAGCGGATGCAGATGCATCCTGGGATTCAGCTTTATTATTGCAGCTTAAATGGCATTCGTGAGCGTGTGGGGAAAATCCATTCTCCGTCCTCAGCCATTGGCCAGGACATGACAATGTCCGCTGCAGCATCACGCCAAATTGATGCGTTTTAAATTGCATTAAATTCCATGCTACGTAATCCCAGCCACTCGCACACGGACACGCTCCGAAGGTCTGCGCTGTGTGCAAATTAAATTAATTTTGTTTGCCTTGTTCCCAGGGCGTCTGGCGTTATGACGCTAGCTCAGAGGCCAGAGTTACGTTGCGTTACGTGTATCGATTACCAACCAACTTTCAGACTTTACCATTTCGCCATCCGTTCTGGCCAATTTGAGCGGTGTCTACGATCGGCAGCAGCAGCGACGTCAACGTTGCCAGCCAGTGCAAATATTTAGCAGTAATTAATTTAAATCAGCAATGGCTCCAGGAAATGCCGAACGGCGAATGCCAAACGCCACTGCCACAGCCACTGCCCCTGGTGGCATCATTAAAATCTTCCGCCGGCTGAACAACAAAGCGCAAGTAAATTGCTCGTCACGAGTGCTACTTTGCTGCCTTTCGCTCTCTCCAAAATATTACAGAGTTTTGCCAGACATTCAAACTTAAATTATGCCGCCATGTCACACATGACGTATACATAATTACGTATACGTAATGACGCCAGCCAACGTACTCTATAGTGCAGTCAGTCCTGGCTATTCTCTGGCCAAATATTTCATATTATAGGAGAAGTTGTAACCATTTTTAAGAGGCGTATTTTAATGTAATGTCAAAATTTACAATCTCAGGCAAATATTTTTTAAAAATCTTTTCAATTATTTAATCTATTTAGCTAAACTTTATTTACCAACTAACACTGACAACCCTGGTACTCTCTTGGGAGCATAGTTAGGTCGCAGCACCGTTGCACACAGTACTTGCTATCTGCAGTAATTTCCATTTCAATTATAGTATCTGTCGCCTAGGCATTTCAAAAGAGCGACACACACTACACACGACAAGCGTCATTTAGAGCCAACCCTCCGCCCTCCGACTTTGCCAACTGCAACGGTAAATGTGGCTTTTATTCATTACATAATTACTGTTGTGTTTGCACTGTGGCAAGCGGCAGTCGCCCCCTGGGCAAAGGTTAGTGCAACCAGCAGTGATTATGAGTAATTGTCAAGGTTAGTTGGGAATCCTATTTGGCCGAGGGACTGACATTGTGGGTGTGAATGCTTCTGGTTGGGTTTTTGAAAGGGGATTGGTATATATAAAACAGTTCCTTTTATAAAAATAGCATCTAAACTATCTTCTCTTGAATGACTATATTAACCTTGAAACTCTATATTCTTCTGATCAGAGATACAAGTTGCAGAGGCACCGAACTTGAGTCGAGGCAACAACTTGCAAGTAGCCATAAATAAGCGCTCTTCATAACAACCACACCCCCGCAGACACAATGGATAATGGTGGGAGCTGAGAGCCAGACAGCTCTCCCCGTTCCTGCACACATTTGTGCAAATAGCTGCACTATGCACGTTTCCGTTTCCGCTCTTACGGGCTTTACAGGCGTTGCAATTGTCGCTTGTTGCAACGACAGCCTCCGCCATTTTGTCTCTGGGCGGGAGTCTGTGTGCTGTCTGTGTGAATCTATACGTGTGTGTGTGTGTGCTGATGCATCGGTGTGGGTGGGCCACAGTCTGGCGCACATGGCGCATACTTTATGCATAACAAATGGCTGCTTAGTATATTGTTTAATTTATCAAGCATGAATTATTTATGTCGATCTGTGTGTCGTCCAATGAAATAAAGTGCAATGCAAAACTTGAACTTTGCTGTAGAATTTGCCAACAGTTACTTTGCTAGAGCACTGGAAAAAATTTTGTTGGATCATAGTAACCAAAGAATAGTACTAATAACTTAAATTATACTTTTATCTACTATTAGCAAAGCATTTTTTCAAAATTTGTCAAAGATTTTACTTGCTATAACTTGGGACATTTCTTTTTTAACTTTTGATAAATTCCGAGTCAAAACGATAGTTCCTCGATAAAATATGGACCAGAATAACGGTGGGTACATAAAAATCTTAGCTACACAATAAATCCCTTTAAAATGAACACAGAGGGGGAGCAACTTCAGGCAGAGGAACCTGAGCTCGATCCTGCTCTTAATATTCGCGACGCCGTCAGAGCTTTCATTCAAGCCTTACCAGAGGAAGACCATGATGCCGATTTGGCAAACGGAAATGTCCAGCTCCTGTCGCCATATATCTGCAGGCACTGTAGGGACTACGTCCGCGGTGGTGTGATCACTATTTGCGGACACATGTTCTGTTGGACATGCCTGTGGCCACTCCTAGTAGAAAGCCCATCTCCGGTGTGTCCGCTGTGCCAGACTGAACTGATTCTGCACGTCGACATCATACCCTTTTATGGCGAGGGACCCAATTCAGGAGCGGCAGACGGCGAGTTTCTGGCCGAGCCGGGAGCAGTTCCTCGTCCCTCAGGTATATGCTTTGCAGAGCCTAATGAGGATGTGGCCCAACATGGGGGTATCAATGCGCGTATTGTGGATCAATACTTCGCGCAGCGGGTCCAGTGGCTCAAAAGGAAATTGTCGTTTCCTAGGATCAAACTCACAGTGACATATCTTCAGTGGCTGCAGGTCATCTGCGTCATTTTAATGCTACTTGTGTGGCAGTTTGTCTAAATGACCTAATGAACTTATTACCCAATGCTTCACTTTGCTTAATTCCTTTTAAATGCAACTGAGACCTGACCAATGCAGAATGTCTGCAAGTGTTTTAAATTTTCAATATAAAATATGAATTTCAATATAAAAAATCAATCTAAACTTAATAAATTCCCTAAGAAGAAGGTTTACTATTATTTAATTGAGTTATTTTATTGTTCTGTCATTTTTCTATAAGATATTCATAAGCAAACATATGTTTTCCTTAGTGTACATTCAATCCTCCTTTGGTAGGCTTGTCGAACAAATCAAATTTATGTGCCACCTAATGCAGTGTGTGCATTCCCAGTTGTATTTACTGTACAGGTAGACTGTGCTTGGGCAATAAAATATTGCATTGTTGCGGCCGCCAGGACCAACTTATTTCCACTTGTTGAAATGAAATTTTCAATTGAATTGCATTGTGCGTTGTGTGCTGGTGTCAAGAGCTCTAATTTAGATTTATTTCGGTTGATTAATATGCATTCGAGTAAGTGAGTGTGGTCTCGTGTGCTGTGAGCCCTGTGCTGAATTTGGCAGTTGATAATTGCAGGCGGAGCTCTGGGGCCAAAAGTTGCTGGCACTTCTTGGGATAAATGGAAAATGCTTTTCCCAGAGATTGTGTGAACACAATGGCACGTCTGAGGGGGGGCGGTAGAGCACACAAAAATGGAGGCGAAAAACGACAGACACAATAGAAGTGCACGACATTGTGCGGAGTTGCCTTGAGGTTGAGGTTCAGCTTCGGGGGCGGCATCATTTGGAGCTCACTTCAAGCCATATTGTGTACAGATAACGTGTCTATTCAGACGAGAACTGATACGAGGCCAGCACAGAATGCGGCAGCCAGGAGCGGCAAGCTTGACTTCCTTGTGGCTTGAGTAACAAGTTGGGCATAATGCGGAAGCTAAAAACTGTTGCACACTTTTATGCGCTGCCACAAGCTATCGGCATGAGGACCTCAGAAATGCCGAGACCTTGCCACCAGCAACCAGCCACCACCATCCCTTAGCCAGCCGAAAGGACGACGCTTATCACCGCAAAAGTTTTCACCACTTTTAGAGTCGGTGTCTGCAGCCGAGAGACTTTTTGCCGTCGAGCTGTCATCGCTCAAAACTTTGCAGCCGGAGCGGCATTCCAATTCTGGCTTTAAAACTCTACAACAAAAATTAAAAACAGAACAGGGACAGTCCAACTTTTGTGGGTCCAAGCTGTGCTACGTTTTAATTGCCATTATCTATAATTACAATCGACAAGCGTTGAACATGTCGCATCAAAGGGTCACATTTCACATCCTGCCCGTCACGTTGCTCTCTAATTAAAACGAAAAGATCACATCTTACGTGGCAGTTGGAAGCTAGGAAAAAAATTGAAAGCATTGATATGTATTAAATTCTGTTAACTAAACTTACTGGAGATTGTAAGTACATTTCTTTAATTTCATTAAAAAGCATAAAAAACTTAATGAACTTAATCCGATTCATTTGTGCAGCTGTTTTACATAAACTTTTTTGTGCTTTGCAGCATGGCAATGGCTGCTAATTTCCCGGCAAAGTTTTTGGATTTTTCAGGCTTTGAAATTGAACAGCACAGCAGCCAGCAGCCAGTGACTGGAAAATGTGAGATTTCCCGCGGGGCATTTAACTTTTAATCCATCAAAATGCTTTCGACAACGCGGCTGCTCCTGTCGATTGCAATGGGAAAGGGAAAATTGTTTTAGCAAACAGACGCAAAAAATGCGAAACCTCGGGCAAATAATAAAAAGAGAGAAAAAGAACCAGACAGTCTGTCTGCGACATCCCATCGAAGGCCGAGAACGCTTTTCATTATTCGCGTTCAACTCGCGTTTAAGGCAAATGAATCCTTGATCCCCGGAGACAAAGGACGGCGCGTCTCTCGGCTGGCTGAAAAGCTATGAATCTGAGTGAAATGTGTGTATGTGTGCAATGTTCTCCGCTTGCACACCTTTTTTCGGATAAATTGGATTATAATCTGTTTTAATTGGCGAGGGCCAAACGCTGCCCTAAGTCTGGGAAGCCCAATGAAAATTAGCCACAGAATTACGCAGTCTGATGCCGCTTTCATTAGTCTAATTGTGACTCTTGGGCAACCCATCTCGGTGATTAGGCCCGGCCTTTACCTTTTAGCCAGAAGTCGGCACGAACCCATGCGTGACAGTGTTAAGTCTCAGCCAGGCCAAAACCTAGGCTGAACCCAAAGCCAAGTCTCCGTTTCGGCCCATGTGTGTGTGGCTTTTAATTAGAGGCAAACAATGCCGCATGGCTTTCAACCTTTCGCCCCGCATATTAACATATGAACGGCAACTAAAATGTCAGCGGCCAGACTGCAAAGCCGGCGACAAAACCCCGGCCACAATGACCAGGTATAGTCGTGTGCCACCGAAATCCTGGCCACAATTAAGCAACTCAGCCAGCTCAGGTGGGCGGAGCGCCATTTCCAGCCTTATCCCAGTCAAAACCCGTCCAAGAAGACAAACAGCCACGGCAGCCAGTGGGCAAACAAACTTGCAAACTTCCCCAAAGTTTCGCTCCTGTTGCTTTTCCAGCTGGATTTTCCTGTTTCTCTGTGTCTGTCTGTGTGCGGCGAAAGCGCACATTTGACTCCCGACCTCCGCTCACATTTGTTTTCCAAGCCGGGGGAGTACGTAAATTGCGGTGCTCAGTTAGTTTTGCTCACGATTTGCCGGCCAGTTATGAGAGGTCCCGAAGGAGTGGCGTCATCCATCATTCCAATGGTCAGCAGCGAGCCAAGATGGTGAGCATTGTGTAGCGACATCATCATTTATCCTTGTTAGTGCGAAGCCACTGACTGAATTAGAGCAATATTCTGTTGTTTTGGTGTGTACTGTTTTTAATTACACAAATGTAAAGTAATTACAAAAGTGATTTAGTTTAATTTTGAAAATGTAAAAAGCTGATTTCGTTCTAGTTATAATATAATATATATGAAACCAACAGCATATTCGTATTTAGGAGAGCATTCTCGTTAGCTTTTAGTAACATATCTCCGCCATATCATGAACATTTAATTAACAAAACACTTTCGTCGTAACATCACAGCTTATGGGGCACTTGAGGACATTAATTTACTCTACCACGAATGGAGAAAATGCTCGAGTAACCGCACTCAACTAGTTACGACCATTCCGCAATGCTGAAGCTCTGAACTTCATGAGGATAATAACCCCCTTCTCCTCCGAATGAGGACCATTGAGAGACTGCACTTATGGCTCTATTTATGTGCAGGAAAAATATGATTTGCAAGGGGAAATCAGGCAGAAATATAAAGTTCGAGTATGATTCGCTTATGCTGCATCAGTACCTAAACAATTTCTTCAATTGACTTGGCAACTTCAAGTATCGCACGTGTGGAAATCGAATGCAAATACCTCTGGTAGTACAGATAGTTTGGACTTTTGTATGTCATAGTAGTTGCCCGTCAAGTGCGTTATGTAATTGGCAATATTATTTCTGGGCTTGCCAGCATTTTTTTCCCGTCCACCGAACATCGGAGAGCACTTATACGCCCCGTGGCGTACATCATGAGCCCTAATTGAAAGTGCTTTCCCCCCTCGTAGCTGAAATCAATTAAAAATTCAACATTTACGCGTGCATATGCCACTTAAATAACCAATTCGAGAGCCAACCCACTGGGACACACCCTTGTCCTTGTATTTTCATAAATTTATGCACCCCTCGAACTAATTTCTGCCAATTCTACTACAAGGGGGTTGTGTTTTTTTGCCGAGCTTTTCCCCATTTTTGCATATTCTGTGGGCGACGACGCTTGACCCCAGAGTGGGTGGATTGACCTCGACCAATATTTTTGCCCTTTAAATTGGCCTTTCTGGAAGGGAGAACGAGTTTTCCCAGCTGCCATTTAAATGCTGCTCGCAGCACTTCTCCAGGCCACCGCCTTGTACATGAACGAAAGTGCAGATCGGGTATTGAGCCAAGTTGAGTTGGCGCCATAAATTCCGAGAGTTGCCATTAAAAATTACAAGTGCTGACAGCGTCACGTTCTCCTCCGGCATGTCAGGGGAGGAAATGCTCTTTATTTATTTTCGTTTCTCGGCGTGTGTAGGCCCTGAATGTGTGTGTTTGCTTTGTCATACGTGCGCGCAAATAAATATTTGCAATTACATATCGTATTTATCAAAAATGTGTGCCATCAAAGGAGCCGGAGCCCACCGCCTGGCTTTCGATTTAGCCTCGCCTCATAATTGTTTGCTCTCGACTTGGCCCAAAACCCAAACCCAAACAGAGCCCGGAACCAGAACCTGGCCCAGACGAATGCAAATAAATCTGTGAAAATTCCCCGACGTCTGCCTGCAATTTCCCAGTGCTCGCACAATACATTATTTGATTTTGCGTACATTTGCATTTTCATTTCAAAACACATGGCAAATTGATTGCTTTTACGGCTCATTTTGCCGACGCACTCGAACGCCGCTCTCGGCTCGTTAAGATATTTATTTCACCTTTTCTGCCGCATAAAGATAGCGCTCAGTCTTGCCGCGATTCGCAAATAGAATATGGCAGCCCGTCGACTTTATATTTACTGCGGGTTGATGGCCTGTTTGTGTTTCCTGTCTGCCAGATAAGTGTCCTTCGTTGTGCGTTGAATGGCGGGAAACTTTAATTTAATGTTCCATAAAGTTGAGAATTTATTATTTACAACGTTTTGGTTATGGTTTTCAGGTAATAGTTGCGGATAATTTAAAATATATTTAAAGTATGAAAAGAATTTTAAATTTTACATTAAACTAAATATTTAAACTATTCATTTAGCTTTTTTTGTACATCTGAAAGCCCAGTAAATTTGCTTAAAAAAAATGTACATTTATCTTTAACTGCTATATCTTAAATCAAACGATCAACTTACTTCTGTTATAGAACATTCGTGGTAAACATTTCGATATGGAGTGCCCATAATTGAACAGGGGGCGAAAGGAAGCCCGCTTTGAGTGCATATCAAGCTATTTAGTTCCATTGTTCGGCTGGTGGAATCAAATCAATGTATTGTTGGGCCAAACTAAACTGTTCACACCTCCCTCTTAACGCCCCCTCTCGGCAGGGTGTGCGTGAGTCATAAATTAATTTTACCCCCTGCGCCCGCGTCTTTTGTGTGGAGCTTCGCTCG